TGCAACAATGGAGGTTCAGACCCCCTAACCCAAAAAGACCAAGACTTCTTCCAAGAAGTCTTCATCTGTGTCTAAGGATGCTGAACCTTCATTGGCCAAGAGTACAAGGTCTGCAGTGAAGAACAAACAAGTTAGAATTTCTGAAGAAGAGGAATGGAGTGGTGAATAAGAGAGTGAGTCTGATGGTGAACAGGACAAGCTGGCCAAGTTTGGCAAAAGAAAAATTTTGAAGGGAAGATTGCTGAAAGACTTGGTGGAACCAAGAATGGTTCGTTTGGTTGATAGCCTAGCTGTTCAGGGCTGGAGGGACATGGTCCTTCAGATGGATGGAAGGTTATCTAGGAATGAAATCATTGAATTCATGTCCAATGCAGAGGTCAAAGATGGCAGAGTCACCAGCCAAGTAAAAGGAGTTCAAGTAACCTTTGATACAGAGAAGCTGGGAGAGATTCTTGACATCCTTGCTGAGGGATATGATGACTACACTAGGAAAAGATAGCCAAGTCTGGATTCCCTTCCTCCTGCTCTTGAAATCACTAGGAGATTCTGTGATGTTGAAGAAGCGAATGAGGCCAAGTTTGTGCACAAGAGTGAAATGAGGCCACTGCACAAAGTCCACTTTAAGTTTGTCAACAAGTGCCTACTGCCCAGGCAAGAAAGAAGGCACATTGCTAACTATATGGACTAAGTTCTGATGGAGTGCCTTGAAAGTGGAAAGCAAATCAACTGGCATGCATTCATCATCAAGTTACTGGACAGGGTTATCAATGGCTCCAAGGCCCATGCCACCCCCTATGGATTTATTCTGACTACTGTTCTGGATCGGTGCAAGGTGCCTCTGAAGAAGTGGGAAATGGCCACAAGCAAGGACCATTTTGGCATTAATACTCTGATTGCTTGTGACTATCTAGTCAATGCCATTCCAAATGAACCCGGTTCATCCAAGAAGACACCTATCAATAGTATAGTCAGGGCTCTAGTTCAGGAAAGTGAGGCCAAGGATGCTGAGATAGCTAGGCTGAAGGCTCACTTAGTAGAGGTTGAATCTGAGAGGGATGCTCTCAGAACTGAGCTTACCAAGGAAAAGGAGAAAAATGATGGGATTCTTCACAATATGCTAAATCTTCTCCAAGCCCAAAACCAATCCTCTAGCTCCCCCAAGCCTTAGGAATTCTAGTCTTTATCTCCTGAACCTGTCCAGTACCACCAGTGACCTAGATTAGGGATTTCTCTTTCTTTTTGCTCATGTTTTGAATATTTTTGCTTTCTGTTTGTGGATTGTAGTAGCGACATATCTTCCATCAATGATATCTACTATTTTTGCTCTTGTTGACGGTTAATATTTCCTTGATAGTTTAAATATGTTTTCCTGATTACTGAAGATTGATCCATGATTGCACTTGTAGTTGCCCCAGTGGCCATGAGTACTTATTAAATTCGGGGACTTACACTTTATTTATGCAATTTTTCGATGATGCCAAAAGGGGGAAGAGATATTGTTCTTTACATATTCTGAATAAGTGATGTTTATAACCTAATTAACCTGATCCTTGATGATAAGCAAATTTTTCTAAACATTGTATTGATGAATAAGCTGAGTTCTGACAGGGCCTAAGTGAGTGAAAAGCACAGAGTTTGTCATCATCAAAAGGGGGGAATTTGTTGGCCCACGTAAAGGTGAAGTTTTTAAGACTGACAAATGAACTCAGACATGGACCAGGTCCATCTTCTGAAGCACAGTTGTGATCAACCCAAACATGTGATATGCACGTGAAGGAGATAAACCTAACTTGTCAGAAGTAATATCTCCTGATCATGATCGAAAAGGTTGCATATTGGATAAGGAGAAAGACTGCTTACACAAAGAGAACACGATTTAGGAAAAGGATAGAGTTAGAGTATGAGATCAACTAGAACTCTTCCACCATGGAAGAGTAGCATCTGTATCCTAGTAAATCTCTAATTACTAACTCCTTAAATATCAGTGTTGTTCTCTTTTACAGGTAATGCACATAAGCAGAAGTTAAACGTGTATTGAGAGCAAAATATCAAGGCAATTTTGCAAGCAATTTATGTGTGATTCAAGCGTGCAATCTTGAGCTACTTGAACCAGATAGAAGAATCAGTTCCAAGAGTCTATCTTTTATTGTAGTTCAATTGTAGTAGGTGATTTTACATTGTACCTTTCAGCTTTTATAGAAGCAATTGTATTAGGTACTTAGAGTTTTTAAGTTAGAGTTAACTTGAAGTTGTCGCAACAGTTGAGGCTGTGTGCCACAACGGGATTAGAGTTAATCCTAGGTTTACAAAAGAGTTTTTGTAAATGCAGTTCTTGGCTCAGTGACTTTAGTGGAGAGTTTGGGAAAATCCTACTGGAAGGTAGGTCATGGTTTTTTCACCTTTTGGGCCAGGTGTTTTCCACGTAAAGTCTCTGTGTTCTTTATTTTCTGTATTTATTATTCCGCAGCAGTAGTTGGAACACATAGAAGAACCAGGTCCTTCCATAATTAAGTTAAGCGAAAATTGGGTGCCACACAAATCACCCCTCCCCTCTTGTGTGGTATTGAAGTATAAAACATCACGTTGGGACCGTTTGAGCCCGTTTAGGACCTGTTGAACCGGCCCACTTAGCACCTGGTCCTGGTCCCGGGCCCAAATGGTCCGATCCTAACGGGCTTTATAACGGAACCGGCCCACATAGCAGGCCCACCCCTGGTCCCGGGCTTAAACGGTTAGGTCCACTACCCATATGGGCTCGCGGGCCTGGGTCGAGCCCAGACCTAACCGGCCCACATGCTATCTTTAGTGTGGAAGAAGAAAGGTAGGAGAAGAAGATGGTGAGGTGGCAGATTTGGGGTTGTTTGGTAGTGTGACTGTTGTTTGGTAGTGTGACTTGGCAGCTGACATGGAAAAAATTGAGAGGGTCAGCTGCCACGGTGTAGATCTGTTTGGGTTAGGGGCAATTTTTAAAATTTGATTAACGGTAAGGGTTAGATTGGATGAATAGTATAACGGGTGGCAGAAGTAAACAATATAGTATACTAGAGGGGCAATTTTGGACCTTTTCCCTTTAAAAAGCTAGCTAATTCTAATTGCCAGCCCAAAAAATGATTAACCCAGCTAATTTTCGAAGGAATGTCACCGTAAAGGTTCAAATTTGCTTCTGAATTTTGTGAAATTAGTCATCTATATACACTGTAAAAAAAATCAGTTAGAAAGTGATCCTCCGTCATTAAACGTGTTATATATGTCCTCCATTTTTAACGAAGTTCTAGGTGACATATTTTATATATGTTGACCTTTTTAATTACCAGGGGAATATAAAATTAAAAAGAAATACAAATTTGGCCTTGAACTTTGCCGAGTTTAGCCCTCAAAATGATTCATCTTTGGGTGCAGAAAGGATATGACCGTGACAATGAAGTTGAATAAGAGTATTGTTTTCTTTAAGATTTAACTATATATTAACTACGAAAACCAAACACGGAAAAAAGCCTTTTTACGCTTATCTGAAGCTAGCAGCAAATAGTTTGTTTGGAACAACTCTCAAGGTTTGATATTTTGTAAGATCTAGCCAACACTCAGGTTCCCTACCATGAATCCTCAACCCTATGAAGCCGAAACCAATATTCCACCCAACACCCCCAGATATTGTTCATGAGAAACCCACTCAAAATGAATGGAAGAACAAATCCTCATTCAAGGATATGTTAACTGCCTCTAGCCAAATGCCTTTCACCCCAAATCTGGACCAGGCTGACATGGACCTAACAACAACCTCCCTAGAAGAGGAAGAGTTCGAGCATGCATCAAACTTCAATGAAAGAGGCATTAAAAGAATATCTCTAACCGAAGAAGATAGACAACGAATTTATGAGCCATGGAAATGCTCTATCATAATTAAGCTGGTGGGGAAACGCATGCTACGCCATTATTTAAAGAAAAAGATCCAAGAATTATGGAAGCCAACGAAAGAATTCTCATTAATTGATCTTGGAGAGGATTACTATATAATAAAATGCAAAAAAAAAAAAGAGGAAAATACGGGTAAAGCTATCCATCAAGGACCATGGTTCATCAATGGCCACTTTCTATCCATTTCGAGATGGAAACCAAATTTTGTGGCTACAAATGAAAAGTTAGCTACCTCGACAGTATGGATTAGGCTCCCTCAATTGCCAACGGAATTTTATGATGGTAAGATCCTTGAGAAGATCGGAAATGCAATAGGACGCCTACTTAAAATTGATATTTGTACATCAACAACTCTAAGGGGTCGCTATGCAAGAATTTGTGTGGAAATCCCTCTAGAAATTCCAGTTCAACCTTTCCTATATTTTGTCCACCATACACAATATATTCATTATGAGGGTGAAAATTTTCTTTGTAAAAATTGTGGCAGATTCGGACACACATAAAACAAGCAAGGATATTAAACATCCAACAAAGGAACAACAACCTACTACAGCAATGGAAGATCCAGAAGCAGAATGAATGGAAAACAGTCTCCTTCAATAAAGGAAGAAAGCAAGGAGTAAAAAATACTTCTCATTTCATCAATAATCCAACCAAAAACTCCAACGTCCCAGGTATCTCCGTCAGGCTGTTTAATGTCAATACAGGTAAGTATTTGGATACCCAAATGTTACAATACAAGTCTAAAGATCCCATCAACTCCATACCACCTACAAATGCTAATAATTCCTATTAAAACCATTTCTCTCTCCTAAACACTAAGCAAACGGCTTTACAAGAAACCACTAATGATAATTCTAGTAACCTATTAAAAACCAATAATAGCCATGCAAGTGAACACTTGGCCACTCAAAACAAAGACATTAACATGCTGGACTCTAACGTGGCCTTTACTAAGGTAAACAAAATAGATAAAAATAGTGCCATGCAAAATGACACCCAAACGGACAAAACTAACCCTTCTAATAATTATAACCCTACTACACCTATTAACACTCTTAAACAAAAATCTAGCCATAATCTTAAGTTAACCGAAGGGAATGAACAAAATCTACTCCCTAGATATGGCAATATTCCCCCTCCAGTGCATGTTGGCCAAATGGCAACTAAGGAAAACAAAAGCAACCAAACGGCCATTACCTTAGAAGATGAAAAGGATACTAAGGCTCTTCCTATAAAACTAGACATTGAGCTACCAAAAGCCATGCACTTAGAAAGCTCAATCATTACCCTCTCTCCCAATCCCTCCCACTCCCTCCAGTAGCATCAATCTCACGCGTGCCACAAGCTTATTAAATACTCTACCCCCCATTAAAGATGCCAAGACTTCCATCAACCCTAAGAAGAAGAAACCGTCTAATCCAAATCCTTCGACAACACAGGCCACTAACAATGGAAAACCTTCCACCATTACACCCACTAGAGAACCCTCAGATTGTCTATGCCCAACCTCCACAAGCACAGGACTACCAACCTGCCTCGTGGATGGAGTTAGATCTAATGGGACATGCAATCTCTTTCATAGTGCCAATCAACGGCCAGGAAGCAATAGTGATACTCCACAACACTCATTACTTAGCCCAACTCATAACGGAGGGAATGAGGCTAGCCATGAACAATTACCTAAATCAGGTTTGGTTGAACAACATTATTCAACCAATGACACCCTCGTTGAACCCACAAATGGTACATGCAATGAGGAATCAATGGAATATGCCACCTCAATTCAACCCAATCAACCTACAGAATGCCCCCTTAGACCTACCATTCTTCCTGACAGAAATGTACTCTCTAACTCAATCCCATATTCTTACCATGGGAGATCAACCAGAAGAACCAGGAACAACCAATCCCTTCAATGTTCCATCCAGTATACCCTCCACAAAACCATGCAGAACAAGTGCCAGGGCCAGTAGAAGCAGCGATGGAGGAGGAAGACGAACCTATCAACCTAAACTTAGAGTGAGTCCTAGAGTTCTCAAATCTCGACGGGATAAAGGTATTTATCTTCATGGAGACGCACGAGAAGAGCCATGTGCTCAACTGCCCACCGGCGCTCTAAAAATATTCAATGGACATAAGACCACCACAAGATCCAACAGTGGGCAACAGAGCCATGATCCTAGTGCCTTGAGAAGGAATCCTGTCCTACTAGGGTGAGTAAGGGAGAATGGGCAACCGGGAAACTCAAACCTTAACAACGCCATGAATCGTCCAACAAACTTCATTATATGGAACATAAGGGGTCGGAATAATGACAATTTTAGGAGGAATTTTAGGGAAATGATTGATACACACAAACCCTGCATGGTGACCTTGTTGGAAACAAGAATGGGTAATCATGCTGAGATGCTTCATGACTTTGGGTTTACGGAGATGATAGAGGTTCCAGTGGAAGGGCAGTCAGGAGGTATGGTCATGATATGGAACCATGAAGTGGTCAGCGTTCAAAATGCAGTCCGTAGGAATCAAGAAATCCACGCAACAATTGAGGTACTCCCTATTCGTAAACCATGGCTTTTCACTTCAATTTATGCTAGTACTGATGTTCATAATAGAAATATAATGTGGGAGAATCTAGAAAGTATTAGCAATACCTATAAAGGGCCTTGGTTGGTAGGGGGGATTTTAATGATATTCTAACCTCGAATGAAAAATTTAGTGAAAAACCTATTAAGGACAATAGAGCTAGGTACATTTGGTCAAAAATTAATAGTTGCAATTTAATAGACCTAGGGTTTAAAGGGTGTAAGTGTCACGATCTCAGTTCACCCTCCATGAACATGTCGTGATGGCACCTAGTTCCTACAACTAGGTAAGCCTAACAATGCAGAAATTAATATAACTTGCGGAAACATTTAGTTAAGTTTAGCAAAACTAGAAGAAAACGGTATATAAGTGCCACTTGGCATATACAACTCAAAAATAAAATTCGGAAGTCTACAATCTCATCCCAAAACCCGGAAACTCACGGGAACCACAGGCTAAATAGAAGTGTAATATGCTGCTCTAACTCCATAATGTCTAAACAACTGAAAGAAAAGGATAGAATAACTGCTAAAGCTGGAACAGAATAGAGACTCCTGGTCTGCGGACGCGGCAGATATACCTCGAAGTCTCCGCTAGATCTCTCCGCCTCGAGGATAGTACGCCTGAGTGGAGGTACCTGGATCTGCACATGGAAAACATGCGCAGAAGGGGCATGAGTAAACCACAGTGGTACTCAGTAAGTGCCAAGCCTAACCTCGGTTGGGTAGTGACGAGGAAGGTCAGGGCCCTACTGAGGTCAAACAACATAATATGAATTAACAATATGAAATCTGACAGTAATAATGAATACGGCTGTGAGAATAGACAGGTTAAACAAGGCAATAACATCTACACAAAGAAAAAATAAACACGGAATATGTACAAATCAATACCAGTGATAACAACGAGGATCTCCCAGGATACCGTCCTGTAGTCTTTTTCTCAACTGTCCAGTGGATCTCCCGGGATACCATCCCGTAGTCCCAAAGTGAACAAACAAGGGGGGGAGCTACCGGAATCCCACATCCGTAGTCCCAATGTAAATGCGCAACCACAACCAGAAGATACTCAGAAATGAAGTACAAAAGACAAGCAACAGGTAGTACTAGCCTAGCATGCTTCACGTAGTACAGTCAAGGCAAATTAAACAATTAGGCAGGTTGAATCAACTAAACATGCTCTTCTCATCTAACACAGGTTATAATTGCAAGTAAAATAAGGCGAATATGAAGGAAACTCAGTCTCAATATCTTAAGTAAAAACCGGATTTTCAACAATTGGTTCAAGTATGCGCTCTTCACCTCGCGTACAAGCCACTCAAATACCAAATAACAAATCCTAAGGGGAAAGGTCCCCCACACAAGGTTAGACAAGCCACTTACCTCAACCGGCTCCAAAAATCAACTTGAAATCACTCTTTTGCCATGAGTATCCGACTCCAAATGGCCCAAATCTATTCATTTCAATTACACCTCGTAAATAACATCTCAGGCAAGGTCCAAATCCTCAATTTTTGAAAAACCTAGGTTCTACCCCAAACCCCCAATTTCGCCCATGAAATTCACTGATTTTAAGTGGAAAACATGTTAAATGATGTAAATGATTGAAGGAATTAAGTAAAAATCGACTTACAAATGATTTGGAAGAAGTTTTGTCCTTGAAAAATCGCCTATGGGGTTTGAGTCTTGAAAGAATGGTGAAAAATGGTGGAAAATCGACTAAGTATAAAATTGCTGGGTCTCTGATGTCGCATTTGCGAACTGGTGTTCGCAATTGCGAACCCCGACCAAATATGGGAAATGCGAAGCCGGGTTCGCATTTGCGAACCCTTACTAATTAGCCAGTTTTTGCATTTGCGAACATAATATCGCATTTGCGATCAGCCTCAATTCGCATTTGCGAGCACAAGGATCGCATTTGCGTTCAGTGCCCAGAAATCCCTTGTTCGCATTTGCGAGAAAATGGATCGCATTTGCGATCATATGCCCAGGCCCAAGGCTTCTCAATTGCGACTCAAAGCTCGCATTTGCGAGCTCGCAATTTCGAGGCTCATCTTCGCAAATGCGAAGATCATAGAAGCCAAAAATACCAGATTTTTACAAGTTAAAAAATGCAATCCGACACCTATCCAAAACTCACCCGAGCCCTCGGGGCTCCAAACCAAATATGAACACAACCTCAAAAACATCCTACGGACTTATCCGTGCGATCAAATCGCCAAAATAACATCATATACATCGAATCAAGCCTCAAAACTCATGATTCCTTCCAAATTTTTATAAAATATCAAATTTCCATTTTTAGTCTAAAACACGTCAAACGACGTCCGTTTTCAACCAAACTTTACAGAAAGTTCTTAAATCATATATAAGACTTGTACCGGGCGCCGGAACCAAAATACAGACCCGATACCATAGTCTTCTAGTCAAATTTCATTTCCAATTTCCTTAGTTATTTCCAGAAAACAATTTCACACAAAAATTCATTTCTCGGACTTGGGACCTCGAAATTTGATTCCAGGCATACGCCCAAGTCCCATATTTTCCTATGGACCCACCGGGACCGTCAAATCATGGGTCCGGGTCCGTTTACCCAAAAAGTTGACTGGAGTCAAATTTATTCAACTTAATATCAAAATTTAGCATTTTTCTCACAGAATTCATATCTAAGCCTTCTGGCTACGCGTCCGGACTGCGCACGCAAATCAAGGCAACCCCGGATGAGGTTTTCAAGGCCTGGGAAGTATAGAATGGGTAAGAAACAAGTGATGACCCCTTTGGGTCGTCACAGTAAGTATACGTGGTTTAATAACAGACAGAAGAATAAAGGGCTTATAATGGAAAGATTAGATAAAATATTAGGGAATGAGGAATGGATTGAGCTCTTCCCAAAAAGCTTTATAATCCACTTACCCAAAACTTACTCAGATCATAACCCTATTCTAGTTGAATTAATTCCAAAAAAATAGGTTGACTCATAATATACCATTTAGGCTAGAGACCTTTTGGTGTAAACATCCTGAATTCCAATAAATGGTAGAAAAAAATTGGTATGGAACTGATTACTTTAAAGCCAGCCTAAATTTTGTGGAAAAATTGAAACCCTGGAAAAACAACACCTTTGGTAACATTATGGGAAAAAAGAAAAAATTACTTGCTAGACTTCAAGGGATCCAGAATTCCAATAGCTATACTACCAGTAATTTCCTTCGTAATCTGGAGAATGATTTAAAAAAGGAATACAATGATATCCTAAAAATAGAAGAAGATTATTGGAAATTAAGGTCAAGAATCTCGTGGTTAAATGAAGGTGACGCCAATACCAAATTTTTCCATATCTCGGCCACTAATAGAAAAAGAAGAAATAAAATAAACTTCTTTAAGGATGATACTAGTAATTGGATCAATGAACACCATCTTATCATGTCTCATGTGCTCAATTACTTTACATCTACATTTACTACCTCTCACTCCCTAACAAGTTGGATTAATCCTCTAGGAAACCCCTCGACTTGTAATAAGGTTAACATAAACTTTTTAGATAGCCCCCTCCTAGATATTGAAATTAAAGGGCCATATTTTTTTTCAAACCCTTCAAAGCCCCTGGACCGGATGGCCCCCATCCTTTCTTTTTCCAAAGATATTGGGAACACATAGGGCATTCGGTAACCAATCTTTGTCATGACATCTTTAGAAAGAAGGTAATCCCTAAAGATATTAATAGAACTTATCTGTGCCTTATACCAAAAATCCCTAATGCTAACAACATTAGAAATTTCAGACCAATTGGACTTTTCAACATTATCTATAAATTAATTACAAAAATCCTAGCTAATCGACTAAAACCATTTCTTGAGCAGTTGATTAGCCCCTTCCAGACTAGTTTCATAAAAAATAGAAGAGCTTCTGATAATGCAATCATCATCCAAGAACTTGTTTCCAATTTAAAAAAGATAAAAGGGAAACATGGCCAAATGATATTAAAAATTGACCTAGAAAAGACTTTTGACCGTTTGGAATGGTCCTTTGTTCTTCACACTCTTGTATACTTTAAATTCCCTCCCAAATTCTCTAAACTTTTACTAAGTTGTATTTCAACAAGCAGTATAACCATTTTAGTTAATGGATCTGTCATAAAATACTTTGAACCAAGTCGTGGCATTAGGCAAAGAGATCCCATTTCACCCTATATTTTTATCCTTTGCTTGAAAATGCTAACTAGATATATAGAACACCAAGTAGATATTAGGAACTGGGATCCTATAACCTTAGGTAATAGATGCCCCAAATTTTCTCACCTATTTTTTGCGGACGATCATACCTTAATGGCAAAGGTAAACGACAAATCATGCCATGCTATTAGAAATGGTATAGAACAGTTTTGTGCTCTATCAGGCCAAAGCATCAATAGTACCAAATCAAAAATTCTCTTCTCCTAAAACTGTTCCACTTCTCTCATCAAAGACATTACGATTAGGCTAGGTATAAAAAATGTGACAACTTTGGCATATATCTAGGATTTCCAATTTTAAACAATTGTCCAAGGCCTAGAGACTTCCAATTCTTAATTGATAAAATGAGAGCTAAACTAGCATCCTGGAAACTGAAATTCATCAACTTAGCAGGAAGGACAACTCTATCCCACTCTTGCCTGAACACAATCCCCAATCACTATATGCAGTACACCTTACTACCAAAAAATATCCTCAACAAAATTGATAAAATTCAAAGGGATTTATATGGTTAGAAAAAAGGAAAATGCATCTAGTTAAATGGTCTACACTATGCCAATCAAAATCAAATGGCGGCCTAGGTATTCATAATGCTGTGAATAAGATTCTATATACGTTAGCTAGCCTAGTATAGAGAATTCTTACAAATGCAACAACCCCCTGGGCTAAATTAATCATCACCTCCTATAGGACTAGTGTTGCAAAAGATAAAGGCTCCTTCGTCTGAAAGAGTATTCAAAAGTGATGGGAATTATGCTCAAAGGGTATCACATGGTCACCCCATTTCCATTCCAACACAAACATATGGGAAACCAACTGGATACCTAATATAGGTAACCTTAGAAAAACAGTAACAGGTCCTCTCTCTATTGTAGATCACTTTTTAAAAATCAGGGATATTTTCAATGGAAAAACCTGGAACCTTGATAAACTATCTTTCAACATCCCTTGCGACTTAAGGGTAAATATCACTAAGGAAAGAATTCGTCTTATAGGCCCTACCAATGATATCCCAATTTGGTCTCTAAATACGAAAGGAATTTTATAACCAAATCATGTTACACTCTTATAAAAACCCCTACAGACAATAACTTAGAATTTGAATGGATTTGGAATCTGAATTGCCCTAATAAAATTAAATTCTTCTTGTAGCAGTGTTTTCATGATAGGATACCATGCAGGAAATACCTCTCATAAATTGGGCTAAAAATTGATCCCATCTGCCCTATTTGTAAATGCCAAAAAGAAGAATCCATAATACATATTTTTCTAGAATGCAAAGCAGTCAATCACTTCTGGGATAGTCTTGGGTGGAAAAATTACTATAAAGAAAAGGAAAAGCATTGGCTCCTACAAGTAAAAGACTTTAACTATTCTCTTAATAACAAGTATATCGATTTGAATTCCTTCTTCCCATTTGCCATCTACAATATATGGCTTAATAGAAATAATAACAATCAAAACAATACTGTCAACCCTAATTAATGATGCTCAAATTACTCAAAGAACTTCTGAATTCAAGCTTCTTACAGAAAAGAGCATCAAAACTCCACCAAAAAATTCCATTAAAATAAAGTGGTACAAGCCACCAAGAGGCTGGTTTAAACTAAACATAGATGCTAGTTTCGACAACCATAACCAGAACTATGGCCTTGGAGGCGTTTTCAGAAATACCAACGGGAAATGGGTGATTGGATTCACAAAATCCACAAATGCAAATGGATCATTAGAAGCAGAAATGAAGGCACTAAAAGAAGGACTTAAAACAGCAAAAGAATGGAGTTTATTCCCTCTTGAAATTGAGACAGACTCCACGGAGGTAATCCATGCAATACAACAAGGTAATAAACTATATGATAAGGTTGTTAATGAATGCAGGTGGTTCATGCACCAACAGAAGGTAATCCTCCAGCATATCTTCAGGCAAGGGAATAGGACAGCTCATCATCTAGCAAAGAAGACCAAGGACAAGGGAAAGCAACTTTTTGTACTACCCCCTTCTTTGTAAACAATATTGTGGAAAGTGAACAATCAGAACTCCATGTTTTTGTTAAGTCTTTATCAGTTGATGCTTGCAATACACTAGCAAGCTTAGGTAATCAATGTGTCCTCAGAGACACAAACTATGATGATTATGTACGAAGCATTACATAGTTATTAATATATTATTTCCTGTTTGCTAAAAAAAAAAAAAAAGAAGTTGAATAACAGTATTATGTGTGGTTTGTGAAACTTTCTTCCTATCTATTTGACTCAATAAAAAATAACTATTTCCATATATTCCAGTGGCAAAATAGAAAAAAGAAACAAATAAAAAATAAAAGGAAGAAGAAACGCAATTATTTTATAGATAAATGCTTTCTTCAGTTTGCTATAACATTTTTCAGAACAAATAGGGATAATGATACAACAAATTGAAATGGATACACTGAATGAAATTCGTAACAGCTAGCAACGTAAAATTTGATACAATTTAAAATGGTATAACTTTAAATCTCTCTAGCAATATAAATCATCTTAATTGTGTATTACTGATCAAATTTCAGCATTAATTAATTAATTACTTAAACACGTATCTTACAACTCCAGGAAGATGAGTTTTCATGAAATAATCTTCCCAGTTGATAGTCTTGGGATCAAAGTAGAATATGTCCGTTTCAACGCCACTCTCTTTTGCTACCATACGCAATTTTTCTGTATTTAAATCGTCGAATCTGTAGAAAATTCTTTTCGTTAAATACAGATAAATTAATTAATAAAATATTTGATGAAACAATAAAATAAAATAAATTTTGAAAAATATGATTTCTAGTTTTAGAATATATGTAAAAGGATTTAACTTACATTGACTTGAAGAATAAGTAGGGTCCATAAAGGTCTATCAACCTCATTACAAATTTGATTTTCCTGTAAAGTTCCAAGTATTTGCCTTGGAAGTATTGGCAACATGCTGTGTTAACTATTTCCAATCCCTATAGAACAATAACAACAACAAAAATTTTAGTTGTAAAATAAAAGATAAAATTATCCATAAATTTCATCAACAATAAGTATTTTACTCAATGTGAAAGTCATAAATTTCGCTAAGAGTGCTTAAGGATGTCCTAAGATTATATATATATATATAAACTTATATAACATGGTGTTACGATTTCAAACGAAGTTAACATGAACTTTGGCATAGAAGTAAATTTTGTTATAACGTCCACCACTCCGTACCAAAATTGAGTTATAATAATTATAGACTGACATCGAGGAGTATATCCAGAGTGTTGATCACTATGGGTTCACGCGAATTCAGTAGCTTTTGTTCAGATTTTGTAATGTATTAAGAACTTCATTAATATCTATAAATATTTAACGATGAACCCAATAGTAATCCATAAACTTCAAATCTTAAATCCTACTCGGTTGAAGCTATTTATATAAAATTCTGCATACACGGCTATCCTGATGCGAGCATTTGTAAGTGGTATGGTGCAAGAGGAGAGATGAAGAAATTACCTTCAAAGGAAGCAAGTAATGAAGGGCCATGTATTTGCGAAAACTATCCATAGTATTCAACATTGTAACTTGGCCAACAATAATAGGTTTTCCATCCACTTTGTTAATCCATGGATATTTCGTGAAGTAATTGAATCCATATTCTTTAAGATTAGTGATTTCCAAAGGGTTTGAAACTGAGGATCCAACTTGGTATATGGTCTCACTTCCCCTTTGATCAGCATGAGCCACCATTGCTACTATCATTGCATTCACCACCATATCTGCCGGAATCTGTCAACATATTATCGAGTTAAATAACAATAAAAAATTTCATAACAGCTGATACGCTAATTACTTAAATATTAGAAGAGCTTAAGTTTTATTCACTAACAATATAAGAGATATTTACACTATCAGATCACTTAAAAGGTAACTGCCTGTAATTGACATTGACTAATAATTGATAACCGAGTAAATAACGGGTTAAATTATATCAGTAGTGCAATGAAATTATACAAGTTGGTGTATATTATTAAATAAAAAATAAAATAATAACCTCTATGACTGTTTTAATCGCACTAGTGTAAAAAATAAATTTAAAATGTCAATGTATATAATTTAAATTCTACAATTAAGGGAACTATATGGTTTAATAACCAATATGTTTCTTTATAATTTATAATGTATGTAAATTCTTTAATTACGGAAACTATATGGTTATAATAACCGTTATATATCTTCATAATTTACTGTTGGTGAATTAATTTAATAATTGTAGCATTACTTACCGCATCTAATATGGTTTTAGGATTGCCAGGGAAGCAAGTTATTCTTCCTTTACCGTATCCAACTGCTAGACTGTCAATAGTTCTGCAATTTTTCATTAAACAAAAATAGAAAAAGAATTATTATTTGCATTCAGTGAAAATATAATTGTTAAGAATATCTTTTTAAAAAAAATTGAATTTATAATTAGGAAATTCTGAATAGTAAATATATTACCTGATACCTTCAACCCAACCAGGAAAAGGTTCTTTAAAGGTGCTAGTTATGATAGTAGGACGTACAATAACAAGAGGTACATCTTCTTTCAAATTTCCCAAAAGCATTTCTCCCATTGTTTTTGTGAATACATAGGTGTTTGGCCATCCATATTTCCTTGCTCTTCATGATAAAAAATATTAAGAAAAATTGTAAGTTATAGTCTATATTCATAGTGTACCCTTGAATCACTTAATTAATAAAATAATTAGCGTGAAAGAGAAAAAATTAATGGCAAAATACAAAATTGATTGATCGGCTGAAACTAATTGCATTCGCTAACCAATATATATATATATATATATATATATATATATGTATATACAAAAAAAAAAAAGATTTGTATTATTTTTGTGAGCAATCATAAAAATACATTTCTCAAAATTAATCGTACCTTTCAAGGCCAAGCTCCTTCAATGCTATTGTAATGGCTTTTTCAGAAGCATCTTCAGCTTTGAGTTGTTTAAGTGTTTCTTCCATCACTTTCTTCTCTGCTTCAATATCTAGCCCTGTTGTCCCATTCAGGGTCTCACCCATATTGTATGGTGTCTCCAACATCAATCCTGGCTTTTCACCACATACATATGCTGAAAAAATAAAATAAACCAAATAATAAAAATTACTGTGATATACTTTTTTTCAGAATAAATAAAAGCGTATTCTATCTAACAGCTTAAGCTTTTAGATGTGACAATCACATATATATTTTGATATAGTGATATGCAAGAGGTATTGCGTTTGAACTCACTGCTACCCATTAACAAAAAAAACTTTCAGGTGCTTGGCCCATAAAAAAGAATTAAATTCGTACATGAGATGGCGTATCGATATTATAATTAAATAAATGAGATGGTCATATATTTCAACAACTTTTCACCAATTTGATTTTGAAAACATTGGAAGGAAGAGGGTAACAAGCAATATGGATGTAACAAAAGTATTGTTTAATTATTTATTTATTTATAAATAGAGATTTAATATTTCTACTGGGTAAAAGCTATGTACACTAACCAGTGGACACATGAAGAAGAACCTTTAGTTTATTACACTTTTTGGCAAAGCTGAGGACATGTCTAGCTCCAAATGTATTAATTCCCAAAGCCACATCATATCTGCATATTAGAAAAACATAGAGTTGGTCAATTTAAAATAATAATAAACTCAATATTTAATTAATATATAAAAAATATATAATTTTAAAAGTAATGGTGGGCCCGTACCTTTCATCAAAATTGGTAGTTGCAGCTAGATTAACAACAATATCTACTTCCCTCCACATCTCATCCAACAAATTGGAGTCCTTCACTCCTAAATTCTCACAAGTTATGTCACCTGGTACAATTGCGGTCCTTTGGGAAACAAATGTGCTAAAATTTGCCCCACATTTTTCTTTTAGAACCTTAAATAGGTCCTTTGCCACTACCTGTTTAAGAAATAAAGTTAATGCACATATATATAGGTCTACAGTAAATTCTGAAATGACTGTGATATGATGGTAAATGTTTCTTTCCTCCTTTTTCCTTACTAACCATAGGAATATAGAAATCAGGGCGTATGTAGAATATAGGTAACGGGTTCAACTGAATCCACAACTTTCGATGCGGAGCATAAATTTATGTGTAAAAATCTACTAAAGTTGCAACAAATAGTATATTTGAACTCATAATTCTAAAAATATTATGGGTTCAATGCTAAAATTTTAAAGGCTGAACCCATAAAGTTTAAATCCTGGATCCGCCTCAGTCTGAAATAGCCAAGGTAAAAGGGTAGAAGAAAAGGTTATATGTGGCTTTATTCTGAATGGAACTAATTTATGTTACTGACATCGATTAAAAAGAAAGAAAGATTAACCTAAATAGGCATCTATTTAACCGCTTAAATTAAAAATAGCTTACAAATATATAATATGTGTATAATTGTGTATAATCAGTATATAATTTATAGATACCGGTTAGAAAAATTAAACATAAATCAGGCTGCCTAATTTTGTGTAAAGATACCAAAAAATAAGTTCAACTATTGTTTTTTGGTAATTAATAAGTTCAACTATTGATGATAGTGATGTGCTATTCTATAATAAAGAAACTTTAACACATGTTATTAATCAAGAAAAAGTACAAGAGAAGGAAATAAAGACAGGAGAATGGAAGATACGGTTTGGTAAAATTAAATTAATTAAAGGAAACAAATTAGAGGGTTATGATTGTTCTTGTTTTGAGAAAGATATTTTCTTAATATTGCTCACTTTTCAGCTGTCATGTGGTCCTTGAGGTTTTCATGTACGTACACGAGTTTGAACATGAAAAATGTATCCTGCTTCAGTTCTTCACCTTCTCTTTTCTTTTCCCATTGAATATTTCAAGATTATAACTAATATTTTTTTCTGCATCTCCCACTTTTGTTTCAACAATCATAAATCTTTTTTCGAGATTATTGTATCGTGGAAAGGAAAAGAATAATTTATTGATAAAAATCCACAGCGTCATAGCTAGTTCAAGAAATGAAAAATGAAAAAGAATAAAAAAAGGAAAAAGAATACTCGACATTAAGTTTTGGTTCAAGAAAAACAATAAAGGTAAAGGGCAACCCGGTGCACTAAAGTCTCCGCTATGTGTGGGTTCGGGAAAGGGCCGGACCACAAGGGTCTATAGTATGCAGTCTTACCTTGCATTTCTGCAAGAGACTGTTTTCACGAGCTTGAACCCATGACCTCCTGGTCACATGACAGCAACTTTACCAGTTATGCCGAGATCGAAGGCATTAAGATAGGATTAAGAATGTGTACCTCAGTATTGAAACGTTGTATGGCTGCCTTGTCATCTGCAGCTCTTAGAAGAAGATAAAGCTTCTTTACATTTGGTTGAACCCTAAGTATCTTCTCCACAAAAACTACAATATAAACAAATAAGCATCTATTTAATTAGCTGTGCCACTAGAAATCAGACATGAGAAAAAATGAAGAGGATAAAGAAAATAAAAGAAGAAATATAAAAGAGAGAGATATACTCTTAGCCAAAAAACCAGTGGCACCAGTAACAAGAATGGTTCTGTTCTCAAGAAACTTGACAATACTTGGTAACTCCATGGTATAAAGATAGTGATAAAGGAATAGAAAGGAAAGAGGAGAAATTGAGAATTAAAGGGAAAGGAAATGAGAAGAAATATATGACTAGACTTGAGTATTGAAGAATAGTGCTATGAAACACAAGATAGCCAAGAATTAAATTTGGTGCATGTCATATATATAGTTGAGATTTTTGAAGAAAAAGCCTTTTCAAATTATGATATAAGTGGAATTGAGTACACGCAAGTAGTTGTCAATGTCTTTAGAAGATTGAAAAAAGTGATGCTAGTTCAAAATATTTTTTAATCCTATTTTTCATTTGACCCCGGAAGTTTAACTATAACTTGAGTTTTTAGATGAGATGATCACACATTTAAACATCGTATAGGACACACAAAGATTCTAAGTTTGAGTGTCACTAGCTCATCATCGAAAAAAAGATTTATGTGTAAAGGGCAACCCGGTGCATAAAGCATCTCAGGCTTCATGCAGGGTCGGGCGAAGGGCCGCAAAAATGATATATGATGAAGACAACCTACCCTAATGCAAGTATTAGTAGCTTCTTCCACGGGCGACGGCTCGAACCCCTAATCTACGGAGATAACTTTACCATTTTTCTATGTATTTAACATATAAAAAAGAATCAGATTCACACGTGAAGGGACGTGATGAAAATATAATTAAATAAATCAAAGTGGGGCTCTCTATAGTCGTTTAAACTTCAAATTCACATATTTCAGAAAATTAAACTTGAAAGTCAACTTTGAATGTGCTTTTTCTTCTTATTTTTTATTTTTTATTCTTTAAAATTGTTTCCCTCTTAGTGAGTTCACCTACATATAGTTACGTTCTGAAGAAATATATGTGTCGTAAAACTGGTGATTTGGTAAGGGCATGGAAGAGAAGGGTGAGCTAAATTTGGTTAATCCTGTTCAACCAACCTTCATGGAAATATTTTACTAAATAGAATGTTCTAAAATATTTAATTTTGAAACAAATTAGAAACATAAAATTAGCACTATTGCTATTTATATATCCTAGTAACTTGGAATAGCGTCTTCGAAGTTGTGTGATGCATGCTCCATCTTTTTTCTAGCATAGCTATAGTACGAAATTTAAACACGGCCTTTTATTTGATTAATATCTTCTTTCTGTTTAATTAATTCGCACATTTTCAAAAAAAAAAAACTCAACTAGATCTGTAATTATAAGCGTGTGTAACGACCCGGCCGGTCGTTTCGTGAATTATAGCCCCGTTTCCCTATTTCTGCTTCCTTATGTGTTCCTCAGCTGTATTTCATCGTATCGTGTTGATTGGTTCGGGTCCAGAGTGGTTTCGGTGTGGAATGAGACACTTAGTCTCCTTTTTAGAAGTTTAAGGTGGAAAAGTCAACCGGATGTTGACTTATGTGTAAACGATCTCGGATGTGGATTTTGATAGTTCGGTTAGCTCCGTTAGGTGATTTTGTCCTTGGGAGCGCGTCCGAAATGTGATTTTGAGGTCTGTGGTAAAATTAGGCTTGAATTGGCGAAATTGGAAATTTGGCGATTCTCGGTCGGCAGTGAAAATTTTGATGTCGGGGTCGGAATGGAATTCCGGAAGTTGAGTATGTCCGTAGTGTCATTTGTGACGTGTGTGCAAAATTTCAGCTCATTCGGAGGTGATTTAGTAGGTTTTGGCGTCGTTTACGGAATTGAGAAGTTTAGAAGTTCTTAGGCTTGAATCCGAGGGTGATTTGGTGTTTTGATGTTGTTTTGAGTGTTCCGAAGGTTCGATTAAGTTTGTATGTTGGCATGTGACTCGTTGGTATTTTTGGTTGAGGTCTCGAGGGTCTCGGGATGATTTCGGATGGTTATCGGAGAGTTTGGAAATTTAGTAATGCAGCTGAAGCTGTTGATTTTGTCTTAACAGCACCTGCGGAGTGGGAACCGCAGGTGCGAGGTCCGTAGAAGCGGGTCCGAGGCGCAGGTGCGCAGCTGGGGTCGCAGGTGCGGCTTGGTCCCGGTATCTGCAATGACTGCAGATACGGTCAGGCAATCGCAGAAGCGAAAGTGGTCTTTTAGTGAAATTCCGCAGAAGCGGAGAGGTTTGCGCAGAAGCGGTCCCGCAGATGCGGAAGTGCTGGGCAGAATGTATAAAAGAGGGGCTTCGCGAATTTTGGGTTATCTTCCACCATTTTTATCCGATTTTGGAGCTTTTGGGAGCAATTTGAAGAGAGATTCAAGGGAGTTTTTATTGAGGTGAGTAATTTGAGCCCTAATATTCGTATTTATGATAATTTTCCGTGGTTTAATCATGTAATTAGTGGTGATTAAGGGTGAAAATGAGGGGTTAGGGCTTGGGATTTTGGAGAGTTTGATTGAGGTTTTGAGGGGCCAAATGGACTCGGATTTTGATAAATCTTGTATGTATGGACTCGTGAATGAAGGGGCATTCTAGTTTTGTCATTTTTTTCGGATTCCAGACGTGGGCCCGGCGGCTGGGTTTGGGTGAATTTCGGGATTTTGGTCTAAATTGATAGTTTTTCGTGTGGAATTGATTCCATCGCCTATATTGATTGCATTGTATTGCTTTTGGTTAGATTTGGGACGTTTGGAGGCCTGTTCCAGAGGCAAGGGCGTAGCGGAGTAGAATTTGACTTGGTTTGAGGTAAGTAATGCTTCCAAACTTGGTTTTGAGGGTTCGAAACCCCAAACTATGTGTTCTATGATTAGTGTTGAGGTGACGCACATGCCAAGTGACGGGTGTGCAGGCGTGCACCATGAGAATTGTGGCCTGGTTCATTCCATGGCACCGCTTAGTGACTCTTACTTGCTGATATCTTGTTTCTATCATGCGATTAAGTAAATGTGCTGCAAATCATGCTAGCAGTCCTGTTAGGGCTTCACGCCGATACCGTTGGGACCCGAGTGGTCGTTTCTTGCTGTCATTTCATTAGAATCATTGATATTCTGCACTCAGTCTTATTCATGCATATCATATCATATCTCAGTCTTAGTTGCTATTATTTGGCACATCATATCATTGTTTCCGACTAGTTTCATGGCATTGTGAGCCGTGTGTGTGAGACTGGAGAGTGATGACTGAGTGAGGCCGAGAGCCTAATTATGAGTGACAGTTATGGGATTGGGCTGCACGCCATAGCAGTTATGTTGATGATTATGATAGAGCTTGGGCTGTAGGAGCCCCTCCGGAGTCTGTAACACACCCCTAGTGAGCGCAGATGATATTTTGAGGGATGGATTTCCCTGGACATGGATTTGTCCGAAGTATTGATATCTGGAGATGGATATCTCGCCAGGGTTGGATTACCCTTTTTCCTCGGTACCGAGTGACTTATAGTCAGCAATGAGTATGTTCCGGGATGGATTTCCCTGGGCCGGATGGCCATAAGCGGTACCGAGTGGTTGAGTGTGTGCGTGTATATATATATATATATATACATACCTGGAGATGGATTTCTCCTCAGGGTTGGATTACCATTGTCCCTCGGTACTGGTTGACTTGCAATAAGTGTTTCATATGTTCCGGGATGGATTTCCTTGGGCCAGATGGCCATATGTATTACCGAGCGGTTGAGCACTTGAGAGTGGGAGCACATGGTGCATTTCATACATTTTGTGCATTGGCATGTAGAGTTAGCGGAGCTTTAGATCACACATTCTTCAGATCTATATTTATTTTACTACTTGAACTATATTCTTGAATTGATAGCATGCCTATTTTTCCTGCTCGGTTATTTTTTTTGCCTGTTTAGGTTACGTTCGTCACTACCTATCAGTCCATAGTTTGGACTTGTTACTTACTGAGTTGGTGTAATCACGTTACCCCCTGCACCTTGTGTGCAGATCCAGGTATCTCAGGCCACGGTAGCGGCTGTTGATTATTTTAGTCGCGGACTTTCATCGGAGATAGCGAGGTAGCTGCCTGGTGATCGAAGTTCCGCCTTTCTCCTTCTTTATCTTTCTTTTAGTGTACTTTGGCTACTCTCAGACTATGTTAGTCTTGTTATATTTCAGAATAGTTGTAGTATTTTCTCATGACTTAGTGACACCCGAGGTAGGGCTTTTATTTTCCGCATTTTTTTCTGAATTTATCTCTTTTACAAAAATTTCAGTATGAAAAAGGTTATTATCTAATTTTAATGAAATATTTAATCATTTTGGGGATGTGTCGGCTAGCCTAGTTTCATGATAAGCGCCATCACAACAGGGTTGATTTTGGGTCGTGACAAGTTGGTATCAGAGCCTAGGTTACATAGGTCTCACGAGTCATGAGCAGGTTTAGTAGAGTCTTGCGGATCGGTACGGAGACGTCTGTACTTATCTTCGAGAGGCTGCAGAACCTTTAGGAAAACTTCACATTCTGAATTCTTGTTGTGCGAATCTGTTGATTCTGGTAACTAAACTTCTGTTATTCTATTCTCTCACTGATGGTGAAGACACGTGCCACCGGTCAGGACGGACGGCCACCAGTACTACCAGTTGGGGCCACTAGAGGCCGAGATCGCGGTCGAGCCCGTGGTAGGGGCAGGAGTGTGGCCCGCACAGCAGCTAGGGCAACACCTACAGATCCACCAACTGCCCCAGTTTATGATCAGGTCCCAGTTGTGGATGCTCCAGCGAGACCAACTCATGCATCGGCTGTGCCTATTGTTATTTTAGGTCTTCAGGAGACCTTAGCTCAGATTTTGACCGTGTGCACCAGTCTTGCTCACGCGGTCGTCGTTTCTGCTACAACAGCTACTTCCCAGGCTGGGGGAGGCACTCAGACTCCCGCCGCCTGCACACCCGAGCAGGTTGTTCAGGGACTACAGACACCGGAGGCACCACCAACCCAGTCGGTTGCACCTACTCGGGATTATGTGGTTCCAGTCATGCCTGATGACGAGCAGCGTAGATTGGAGAGATTTGGTAGACTTCAGCCTCCGACTTTCAGTAGTACAGAGGGCGAGGATGCCCAAGGTTTCTTGGACAAGTGTCAGAGGATTCTGCGTACAGCGGGTATTCTGGAGGCCAGTGGGGTCTCGTTCACTACCTTTCAGTTCTCGGGAGCTGCCTTTACTTGGTGGGAGGCTTATGAGAGGCGTAGGCCTGTTGGTGCAGTGCCCCTTACCTGGCAGCAGTTCTCCGTACTATTTCTGG